GTAAAAACCTGAGAGGCATTCGAAATTAGTAATTGTAAGAATTATTAATGAGGATTAGGTATCTGTGCCTGAATCTGTCAAACGAGGCTTCAAAGGCTTTTAAGAGGCTAGGATAATCACGTGACTTTCCTAACAGTTTCCAGTAGACTTTTCACATTTTTTGCTCTATTTTATAGATAATAGTAACAAAAACATGCAAAATACAGGTTTATGGGAATCGACTCTTCTTTCCTTCACTTTCTTCAACCTTTTTTTCGTCACGGTACACTTTTAATAATTTAAAAATTTGGCGGTACACTAACAATATGGTAAATTAGAGGAGTTTTATTTGGTTTGTTAATGTTTGTAATTGTGGTTGTACTTATAATATATGTATTTTGTAAAATTAGCATAGGATAATAATTTTCAATGAAAAATAAAATGAAAATTGCATTACAAAGTAAACAAAATATTTATTCAATGATAAATTACAAATTATATTTAATGCAAAATTTGAGCTCGATGGTTTTTGATAACTTTATTTATATTTTGGCATAAAAATGATAATGCTACTCTCATTTCGTGACCCAGATTTACAAGTCTAGATCTTCTTTTCGTTTTTATGTTGGTCAAAGCCGAAAATCCGAATTCGCCAAATAAATATTTGAAATGAATGTAACGTCAGTTGATAAAGAAATGTAAAACAAATAAATAATTTTCATTTCGGGAGGGGTTTGGCAGAGTGTCGCGGCACAGAGGTGGAGAATCACTGCTACAGGTACACCGATAAGATGATTTTCAAGTCACCAGGTACGTGTTTGAAAAGACGACAGTTAAATCTAGCCTGATCTGGTCATAGTTCTATTGATACTTGAAAATATAAGCGTCATGAAAATGATGAAACATTGACGATACATAATTCTCGAATTCATGTATTTTTATACAACTTAAGAACTATTTTACATAAAACGAGTACTAGAGCAGTCTAGATTTAAGTTTCCCCATTTTAAAAAGGGGGACTTAACGACTCAAAAATTTTCCTATATATGAACAAAAAGTCGATCCCCCTAAACCCATATTTCTGGTCAATTTTGTAAATAACATTATCTTATCGCGCCGCTAGTGGAGTTTATTCTCTCAATAACAAGTTTTCTACAAATCTTTGAACGTTCACGACTTTTCAACAAAGCATTTTCAGATATAAGATTACGTGAACCTCATTAAAACATGGTAAAAATTTGGTTCTGATTTTTCTATAGACCCTGTAGATATTACATGTCCTAAGACTTATGAGCAAACATACGTTGCAGCTCTGAGTTTAGGATGGAACGCGTTGAAAAACGTATAGCATGGAAAGCGGTATACGCGACGCTCTCGTAGAGATATAAAACCGCACGAAATTGTTGCTCCCACAGCGGAAATAGTGTACGCCTCGGTACCGGAATTTGGAGCGTTTTGCGATGTTCATTATTCAGTAGCGGCCGCACTTAAACGAGACCACGTAGCCCGCCGTGATGTATACGTCGCGTTGCAAAGGAAATGCTCGTTTTTTCTATCCCCAATTCTCTCCTGGCTTTCGTGCTTGTAACCGCGCGTGTTATGGCCTCTAATAACTCGCGTTACGTCCGAGCTTTGAACACTCGCGTGTTCGCGCGATTCATTATTCACGTATGATTTCGCGCCAGACGTTTATTTATATAGAATAATTGAAACGAGAATTAGAATACTTAGGAGAAAAGTAAACGGTTTTATTATGAGTTCGGAAAAGCTCTTCTTGATATCCAATAGCGTAGAAACTTCTTTGTATCTTATAAATATCTAAACAAGTAAAGGAAACACTGCAAATGTTTCAATTGCGTATTTAAAAGAGACTTTTTAAGTACAAGTTGGAGGTAATTTGTAAGGAGGATGAAAATGTTTCGCGACACCTTAAAACAATCGCTGGGGACTCGGTGCAATTTAAGAAGAGGGCAATGAAATAATTGAAGAAGTTTGTCGACGGATTCAACTTTCAAAGAACATAATTTAAGATGTACACCTTCTGTATGCAGTGTGGAAGATGGAAAGAAGAATGTTTTTACGAATGAAATTAACATCCACTGCAATCTGGTAAGTTATAAAAAGATATTTGAAAAGATATTTGAAAAGTAGAAATACAAATAGAATCACTTAATGTACGTGTTTATTTGATACACACAGATTTTGCTTTATCACTTCACGATAATAACGAAATGAAACAAGTAATTGATTTCCATAATGGAATTAGCTATTTAAAAAGAGTTACAGAAAATTGCATGTTTACTATCATATCAAAGTGTATTCGTACGTTGAATACACAAATTGAGTAAAATTATTTTTGAATGGAAAAACGTGATGATATGAAAAGAAATTGTGGAAATAAATTTGATGCAGTCTCTTTCAATCTGAACATCAATGTTTCACAAGAGTGGACTCAATAAAATTAACTCGTCGAATTTCAGCCGCAAATAAATTAAGCGCCTATCGAGTACTCTGTATAGCCACTCTTTTAAACATTTTCATAAAATTGCTGACCCGTTTCGTAACAATTGCCACCAACCATTTCCGACGCCACGTTTCTCAAGTGGGGAGCGTTATATGCATTGTCTCATCGAGACTGTTAATTAAATAACGTTTTCGACGCTCGAGAGGAAACTTCCGAACACATCAAGCGAGGCGATTGCGTTCGAACGATGAGTATCGTTGACATAACCATAATCAGTGAACTAAACTAAATTATCGCCCGGGTAAACTATTCGTCGATTTAGAGTGGCTTATCTAGCCTAACTCATCTAACTAGTACTGATTATTTTATAGTATACTTGTCATTATAGAAAGGAAAAACTTTTCTCGAGGAATCTCAGATTTAATAATCAAATTGAAATTTTGATTAGGAATTTAATCTTTACAGAAATTAGAGAAGGAAAATTGTTGAGATAAAAAACTGTATATTAATTGTATGGTTTCATTAACTTCTTCTTTTAGTTCATAAGTTCCTTTACTGTTAAATTTGGAACCTGTGTTTAATAAAACCAATGTTTAATAAAAATATTGATATTTACTGTGAATTTACTCCCTGACTACCGTTCACATTCAATTTCTGTCAAGCACGTATGTAAGAAGGTATGATTTCTCATCACAATAAAACTTTAATCATCTTTTCCACGATTAGTATGCCAAACTAAAGCAATAAAAATTCAACAAGGTTAATCATCTACTGGTTAGAAATTTCAAAGTGTACCCATCAAACAATCTAAAACACAAACAAGGACCTGCGTCAGTTCGCGAGCTGAAATGAAATTGGCTGGTTAGCAGACAGGAGGTAGCCAGACTCCGCGTTCCGCGGGTGTAAACCGCTTGTTTTCAATCAACACTTCACAAGTTATACGCTGACGGGGCGAATGTCTGTGGCAGCGGTCGAAAGCGATCGGAAATCGACGTACGAATCGCACGAGTCTTGATTATTCCGTCGGTTACTTCGCTGAGTTTCCCAATCACTTACCTTACAAATCCGGATTTAATCGTTCCATCAACTTCACGCCTGAGCAATCCCAACCTCGCATTGTCTAAAATGAAACACGCACGAGTCTAATTAACACACTTTATAAAGTATAATAAATCACGCACACCTCTGTACACAATAAATAAAATCATATGCGCTTTGATACACATTTTAAAATACAGTAAGTCGGATCTGGGCAAGTCGATCGCCCACTATTGGTTCCTAGTTCTTCGTGAACGTACCCAGAAGTGGGAGACATGAACAGGCCTGAGGTAGATGGTATACATATGTATGTACTTATATTGTAATCGGGTTGTAGATCACGATACAATTTTGTTACTACACATAAAAGGAATCTCATATTCAGAGTTTTTGCTTATTGCAATCTTGTTTTACAAGACAATAAATGTCACTTTTACTAAAGTCTTATAGTCTGTCTTAAATCAATAATCCTTCTTGCAGACATTTTATTTCAGTTTCGTAAGTTGTTAAGACATAGCTTAACGGGAGTCCGGAGTGCAAGGAGGAGCTGGGTACGCAGAAATAAACGACACGATTTAATTCCAATTAGAATTATAAAAATAAAGATTTCTTTTTCGCGGTCGGTAACCCGGCCGCGTTCAAAAATAATGTACTAAAAAAGGAAAAAAAAGGAACGGTTCGTTGCTGCTAATGCTGCTGATGTGAATGAGTTTTCCTTAATGTCTATTTACTATTAGAAATTCCACTCCTTACTTTAAAGTAACTAATTGCTGGATACCAATATATATCATATATATACCTTCTTTATATTTTTCTTACGATAATAAGTAGATAAGGCTAATCATAATCATGTGTATTCGATCTTGAATGTTGTTGTATAATTAGCTCTTTACCATAGTAATTGCTAAATATACAGGGTGTCCCAGAAAAAGTGTTAGAGCCAGAAACGGGTGATTCTGGAGGTGTTTGTGAACAACAACTTCTCCACTCCGTGGCCAGATTCTTATCAAAATGTCAAGTCGGTACATGCACACGGCACCATGACCGTTGACCGCGGCACAGTCTTTGATCCTTAAGGAAAGTTAAGCACATAGTATCCGCGACTGTTAATAATCGTAGCGTTACAATATATCACAAGTCTTTTGCCCAAATCTGACGCATCAAATGCGCTAGGCATCATAGACGTATTTTCTCTAAATCTCCATCGGCTCCAACACATCCGTACCAAGGATATATACATATATCATATCCGATAATACTTATCAAGGCATTAACAGTATCAAATCGGATAATTTTAGATCTATCGATTTGGCGCGAACATTTTCTCATTGCGGCTTAAAAGATCATTCATGCTACTACATGTTGCATCTATCCTGACAACGTGTTTTACAAGAAAGTGCGTGTAGGAGGAGACTGAAGAAACTCTTATTGTTTAGCTCTCTTTGTATCATCATACTCTGTATCGTGATGGTATTCAACAATTTCAGCAATTTCCTTCAACAGGAGTCATTATTAGTGCATGTCAGTGACAAGATCGCCACCATGGATGATCTCCCAGATTTCGATGCGGAATCAGGTACGCACGTCGAATTATATCCTATCTAATTACTAATTAAGAATAATAGTCAGGATCATAAAAGAATTTAGAAGTGGCATATTGAATATCTTCCAATACCGATGGTTATAGTACAAACTTTCTAACTAACGTTTTATTACGTTCATCTATATTCATAATTAGTGTGAAACCGATTTACTTGAGTTGGATTTCGGTTAGAGACCAGGAACGGATCTCCAAATAAAAAAAGAGGACTCAATGTGAGGTGTCGATATGAAACTAAATCTAATTTCCTTCACGACAAATACATTTAATTTGAATCTTAATCTCCAATTGATTTGACTCTTGTCAGTGTAAGTTTCACGGACTCTACGCGTGTTAATAAGAACTGAAATACATCGACTTTAAAAAATTATTAATACGGGCTGAAGCGTTACATTTAACGTATACCATTTTTTGTGACAACCAACAATGCTAACAACAAGACAAGTAGTCTTCTGGACTTCCAACCGGAAATAGGTATGCACATCTAATTAGCTCTATCAAACTGATTAGGCATCGCATATAAACGTGTCACATTACGTGTGATTAAGAAAATTTCTTCCTATTGCTTTATATCACTTTGAAACGCGCATTCATGGTATAACATGATACAGAATGTAGTCAGACGCATAATGCAAAGATATTATGCAACTGTACTATAGTTAACTATATACAGTATTTGTACGATATTGGAACATAACACGCGTAAATTCTGATTATTGACAGATAAGCCTCTTACGGACAAGAACATTTTCTTTATCGACACATCGGGTATTACGAAAAGAGATTTAGCGCTGAAAAGTCGTCAAGGCTGTGCAGTCGAGTCTGCCGCTAGAAGGAATCCAAATATGACCGTGTACCTGCTGCTCGTCTCCCGTTCGAAAGTTCCGAATCAATCGACGAAGTTCTTTGATCAGCTGGAAAGTTATCCAAATGTTCGAATCAGACTCGTCTATTTAGACAAATACATGGAAAACACGCCGCTGGAAAAGTGGTACAAAAGAGGCGCGTTGAAGGAGAGTCAATGGCCTACGTCGCAGGTACCTAACGCTATGGAAATATGGAGGAATATACTTGGACCTAGATGTCGGTATCACGACATAAGCGCAATCACGGCTTTCCTATTAGAGACGGTATCATGTTCAATATTTGATTGTGAATTGAAGATGACCTTAGTAGGTTTTGTTTAAAATCTTGTTAAGCGATAATGTTCAAGAATCTATTGTTTTCATAATACGAAAATACTTGATTTCAATTGTTTAGAAAAATTAACAAATTTTGCCGGCGCCGAAGACTGGAAAACTATGGCTGCCGGTGCTGTGGGGTTTGACGGCTCGGAGCTGGGTCGACGTATGGCCGATAGCTGTATTCAGGATATAAAGACGAATTTCCGTGGCGATATCTGGGGTAATAATGGCCCTGGAGTAATTACGAGAGAGTTACAAAATCTTTGTTCCACGAAATATGTAAGTCAAATAAGGAAATAATAATGTGTAGAATAAATAAGTTGCACTTGGTAAAATTCGTTTAACTTTCAATAATAATGACTCCATTTTTCGCAACTGAATTTACTTACTTACTGTAGACTCCGATAACACCGAAATAAAATAGAATCTCAGTGTTACTCATTAAATTGGCTGAAAATATGGGTTTACGTCATTCGATTTATTTCTCAGATAATAAAGACAAAATTCGTTGAATATGAAATGCTACATATTATTGATATGACATGTAGAAAGATTGAGTCAACTAATCATCAAGCATTATGCTTGAATCAATAGCAAGATCTCATTTTTTAAATCGTCCTTGATGTTGTTATTGGAAAGAAATGGCAGCAATGTGTACATGCAAAGAACGATTCATACTATCCTCAGATTCGAAAGATGACCACTGTGCGGTGTCATGGTTTTAAAGTTTTTTCCCCGTCGGTCTTTTATCCAATTCATTACGAGAAGTGGAAGATGTACTTTGAGAGCCAAGACAAGAACTCGACGATGGAGTTGGTGAAGAAAGCACGGGCTATTCACGTGTGGAACAAGCTCAGTAGGTACGAAGAAGTTCGCGTGGTCAGCGACGTTCCATACGCGATCGTCGCAAGGAAACATCGTCCGAAAATCTTCAACAATTGTGGAAAAGTATTTTAATTGAGGACATCCTTGACTGCTAACACGTTAGTTGATGTTCATTGGTTATTTATTATCTTTTGAATTACATCGCACGTGAAACTCTTTTTTGTGATAACAATGCAACGTTACACTTTGAACTAGATTTTTTAAACTTTTCTTATGTGTATACAATAACTTGTGTGAATACTCTATGGCTCTATTTGTACGTACGATACGTGCACAATAATATTCGCAAACGGAAATGACCGTGACAAAGAATTGTGTGTGTATGTGTGTTTTTAGTTCACGTTCAAGCTATGCCTACAGATAATTATGTATAAATACATACATAATATAACATATGAAATGTAATGGATAACAACCTTCCATACTTTCTCGGCTCTAAATTCAAATATGAAAAATTAGTTTATTTTGAAGAACGTTTATGTTTTATTGATACTGATTCATCGTTTGATTTCTTCTATATGATTCATTATACACTGTATGATTTCCTATAGCTTTTATCGTACGGTTTTTTATATAACGATATTAATTTGTAACGTTTATCTGATTGTTTGGTAGAGGATAAGCGCAGCACTCCTCACTTAAAGCTGTACGCATATACATTAAAGCATTTGGGATTTTCCAATTATATTTACCATGTTTTCATTTTTAGGTCTCTCAGGGCACTGCGATGTAAACATCGAAACAGAACTGTTCCCCTCTTTTTTTGTTATTCGTTTCGTTAACATTCGCAAGTTTTAATGAATTAATTTAACTCGGCAATGACAGCTATGGGAAATACACAGTACGCGATACTCGGACAGGTTTTCGATCCTAGCTCATTGGATAACGTGTGAAATCGATTCGTACGCGGCTGGTCCCTCCTCTCGGTGGGAATTGGGAACCGGGAAAAAGCTGGGAAAGTTCCGGAAAAATATGAGACACGACACGAGGACCGCTAGCGGGTCTAACGAGGCGCAGGTCGGGCTAATCGTCGATGGCGGCCGTGTCCAATTCTCGGATATTACGGTAGGCAGAAACGAGCTTCGCGCGGCGCTACATCAAACGTAATTTACCGGCGTATATTATGTGGGGCCCTCGTGACGTTAATGGTCCTCGCAGCGGTGAAGTTAATTAAATTTCATTACAAATAATATTACGCGAATATTACGCGAATACACGACGGATATTTTAGGAACCGCGAGCCATGCATGGAATTCGCAATCGCCCTGCGGAACTGAAAATTCTCATGGCGATCCTACCAATTATACGTTCTCTATGCAATTAATTTTATAGTTATTCCGTGTAATATTTTATTCTTAGCGATAATAAGAAAGCAAATTAATTGCATACACAATGATCCTTGTCTAAATTAAAATGTTTAATGATTGTGTACAAATAACAGCTTTCTTACATTTTTAATCCATTAATAACACTGGTAGATAAAATTTCTGTACTTTTGTTCTATTTTACATTGGGCTACAAGTTTTCCATTTATAAATAAATAATTTTGTATAATCAGCTCGTAAAGGAAAGACAACTTTTCCTGCGATTTTACTACTTCCCGGACCTTAGTTTCACAACAATATAATAACTATTTCAATTTAAATTCGAACTACAAATGGAGAAGTAAAACAGATATAAAATTATTTTAAGTTTAGGATCTAATCATCACAAACTTGCCTACTTTTTTACCTTTTCATAAGAAAGACAATTCTGTTTAGAATAATTTTTTTTCGTACAGTACAATTATCTTTATCTGAATCAAAATTTGTTAGACGACTGATACTAATAATGTTTTACAATTTCACGTATTTGTAACAAATTTAGCTACGTAAAAAAGCCACATAGATACCATGTTAACAGGAAAATGTATATCATAATGCTTAGGCAAACTTTTTAATTTACATTTTTCAAATTGCTGATAAAAAAGTCTTATTAAAGTCTGCAGTCGATTTACAACTACTTATATTTTAAGTTCCCGTGAAGGGGTACGTGTAGTCGTCAGTTTACATTCCCGGGGTCGGATTCGCGTCATATTCGTGACAGCCGAGCATAAAGAATGACGGGAGGAAACGAGATAGAAACGGAATCTCGTCTGCGGGCTCGTCACGCACGACGGGAGCCACGAAACCAACCAAAACAGGTTCGGTTTCGTCCAAGTGGAATACGAGGGGGAGACAGACAGCCAAAGACGGAACGTCGGGGTTCGCAGGGATTATTTGCACATCATGGTTGCCGGAGAGCTTTGCCAGAATCTCCGCGATCATACATCGATACATCAATCACGGAATCATAAATCTTTGACTTAACGCGGGGTTTCCTGTCCTTGTGTACATTCCAACGGCAACCGCTTCTCTTTGTACTGATCTTGAAATGATGATTCGATGAGTTAGCTCTTCTGTCTATTCTGACGAGTTGGGTAAAACATTACGTAGGTAGTTTCATGGTAGACACACGAGTGTTGGGAACGATATTTGACTTTGTTTAACAAATGGAGGTTACATAATGCTGACGTAAGATATAACATTATTTGTGATTCACCATGAATTTCATTAAACTGAGCAAATCAGAAATACTATTGAATGTGTTAATTTCGATGGACATTAAATGTATTCACAATTGCGAAGGGATAGGCATTACAATGCAGCATTTTTACTAATAGTTACAAAGTTGCAAGATGATGAAATTTTTTTTTAGATTAATAATTAATAATTTTAGATTAAAATTAGATAAATAATTTATATTATTTTTTGTGGTTCACCATGAATTTCAGCCTAATCTATCTCGTGTTCATAATTTCGAATAAACAGAAATCACAGTGCAGTATTTTGTCTAATGATTGCAACGTAATAAGAATCACCAACTTTCAATCCGCGTCCCTGATATCGTATTTTCCGGTATTTCCAGATAAAGCTGATGGCGAAGCGGATATTAAGAATCGATAGGTGGAACATTGTGCGCAAGGTCACTGGATCGAAAATATCGTCTAGCCTGTCCGTTACGTTGCGTTGGCCCGTAGGTGCTTTTCATACTACATTAGGATTCAATCTTTCCTCGATGGATTTGGAAATGCCGCCGCGATGGTACAGGCGAAATTCGTTCGCGTAGTTGTGCAGTCGTATCTGCCTCCCAGCGTGTCCACCCTCGCGAGTTTTAATACCGTGCTTATGATTTATGTATCAAAAATACATATTGCATCGAGTCCAACCCGTTGTATTAATGTTGACGTTGCTTTTCGGCCATTCGACCGTTTCTCTCTTTCCGACGCCAGGATATTACGCGGAAATATTTTTGCCTCGACGAAATTCGGACGCTAAACATGTTCAAGAACTGTTAATGCGAGGAATATAAAAGTTTATGAAACGGAAATATCGTGTCAGGTTTGAATTTTAGTTACCTGGGATTATCTCTAAAATCTCAAGTAATTTCATAATTGCATAATGTGTGCAATAACATATAAAAGAATAAAAGTATTCTTGCAATTATAATGAAAATTTCAATACACAAGTTTATTACATGTAGGATTATTCGTAATTAAAGTTTAAACAGTATTAGAAGCGCTCCATTTTGAAAAATGACGACGAAAACATAGTGAAAGCTTTAAAAGGGACGTAAACCGGGAAGTAATTTTAAGTAATACACCCTATTCGTCAACCGGTAAATATTCAAGTACAGCACCGACAAACGGCCGAGTGGATGGAGTTGCAAATCACGAATTTGTCATGGTGGAACCGCACTTAAGCGAGTAGTTCCCACTTTCATGAGTCGCGGGGCATTTCCTCTGATAACGGTTTTAAATTTTCGTTAGCGCGCCGCCTAAACGAGGTAAAGTAAGAAAAACGGTCACAACGGCTGTGCCGGAAGAAACAGGCTGCACATCCTCGGTTCCATTCAGCCGGCTGCCGTACATTTATATTGCTCATTCACCAGTCGGATGCTCGGATCTCTTGATCCGCGCCGCGCCGCTAACGTGGAAGAGGATTTTCACGGATGTTACAAATGTTCTTTGAATTTTCTAAAGGTATGCGTATAGCGAACAGATCGCAAAACAGCAGACTGAGTAGCAGGGGAATTGAAATTTGCTCTGCGTTCTATCTTATATTTTCTATCTCCTTCCAATACTTCATTAAATCACTGAACTCTATTATAATTGAAGTGTGAACAGCAGTAAGAAAGAAAAGTAATGATGACGCGTCGAGAGTGAAGGCTGCAAGAAGGGGCATATCATATTTTTTCTTCCTTTTTGTATTATTTATCTTTTGTATTATTATCTTTAATAAAGGATTTTCGGTTTATCGGAACCTCCCTTCGGTACCTATTTTATCATAAAAGTAGATATATTCCAATGTATTCCAAGGTATAATAACTACGATTCTTGTTTTACTTTGTAAAATTCCTTTTATTAAATATCGGTATAGTCTATTGAATAATGATGATCAGAGCACCCTATTTATTTAGATCCACGGTTTTGTCTAATTCGGTAAAGACAGTCTATCTTATCCCGTAGATACGGAGTATAGCCTCTTAATAAAACAATAAAATACAACTAGAAAGAGCCCCATGCTCCATTATATTCCTTTCTTGTCGGCGCATTCTTCACAACCTCCATTCACACTCCATTTATTATACATATGTAGAACATAATACATTGAATATACAAGGTATCTCAGACCACCCGTACACCTCTTCTAAAATCTGGAAAATTTAGTTTTTTGAAAATTTAGTAGAGAATAGGTTTTCAAACTTTCAAAAAATTCAGTTTTGTGTACAGGTGGTCTAGGACACCCTGTATATTTCATATTTTAACTTTATATTGCAAACTCCATTTGGACACCACGTGAACTATTACACAGTAGCAGTAAAGCAGCCTGTGTTTATGCACTCAATACAGAATTCATTCCATTGAATACTAATATAAAATTGTTCTTACATACATCTACTAAAATATCTGGTAAGTACCAGATTTATTTAAAATGCATTATTCACGATATACAAAGGGAACCACCTATTTCATGTCTCAGTCCACTATTCGCATACTAACGACCCTGTAAATTTCCCAGAAGCGCGATCCGATTCCCAGCCAATATTAACAGATAGATATCGCGCATTGGTTCCGAGGACGATGAAGCACGATACAGTTGAAAGTCTGTATCTTGCTTACTGCGAACAAACAGTAATTACGGAGCTCGGGGCACCAGATACAATCTCGAAAGCGCACCGAGTGTGGTCTCCTTTTATTTCTTCAGCGACGACCGACAACCCGTCGCGGGATGGCCCGAACTTCGTCGTTGTACGAGTGTTCGTTTTATATTATTAAGTTTCTAACGTACTGAAAAGAGCCGGCCGAATGTGTTTCAGCTGCTAGGATAACACGGAGCAACGCTAATATTGTCGAGGAGGATCTTGCCAAATCGTCGCAATAAGCGTCCCAGTGGCTTCTTGCGACACACCGCATTCTGATACATTTAGAGCGCGGAGGGCTGCTGTGCAACCTGCTACCTCCCCGTCGGTGATTATCAACCGTTCCTCCTCTCTGGGTTAATCGAGCCGCCGCGACGCGAGAAGAAATTTTGGCTTCATTGCCCGTCGAGAAACTCCTTTTCCTCTATCGCTCGCCTCGCGATAAAACCAACTATTTTCTTCTCGGTTTCGTGACACGGCCTCTTACTCCTTTCTATCCTCTCTTCGTGGCAAGTCGGCGAGAACTTTTTCTAAACTATGGTTGAAAACGCGGCATTAAAGATGTCCGTTGAGACAGACAAATGGATATCCCATATTTTCAAATATAATAATGTCAAGCTCGTGTCAGAATATCGTACGTCAGTGTTTATACACTTGCAACAGTACATGAGAATATACAGGAAAAGTAAGATGAAAAAAATGTACAAAATATCCCAAGTAAAGATTGGATATAGTGTCGGAAAGAATATGCTGCAGGGAGATAACTGTTCGCGTAGCTGCATAACTGTATAACGTCACTTTAAAATAAAATTTAACGGGGTAATAAGTATCGCGTAATACTCTCAGTATGTTAATTTGATAGCTTAAATTCTGGTCTGCGGAGATTTAGGCGAACGTTGAAAGTGGTTCTACAAGCACTTTCGCGGATAGGTGTAAAAGAACTGGTAAAGTAATTCGCAGAGAATTTTTTAGATTAAACTATTCAACTCTACTCGAACAGCCAATTATATTCTTAAACTATTGTTACATTCAAATAATTTCACTTAAGGCTGTATGAACTCTTACATAAAAGCAATGACAAACCGTTCAAATTTCAACAGTTACTATATAGATATTACATTAATAAAACACTGTTCAAAATTTTAGAAATTTTGCGAGCCTATTAAAAAACTTATTGTTTGTTATAGGAAAATAATGACATACGGTGCTTGACTCACAACACACACATTTATTTAATGTTAAACTGAACAAATATAAAGATATAATAATTATAATATAAGACGATGCATTCGGATTACGTTGCTACGGACGGCACCGAACACGAGACAGAAGACCCACGTTCTGATTTTATTCCGCATAGAGGGTGCAGCGAT